TGCAGAACTTATGGATTTTTAGGGCTCTTTATACAGGTAAACTACTTTTATTCCTGATTTAAACCAGCGATCATGTGAGCAGCTGTATGCTTTTATTTTTTTCTGGCAGGCTGTCAGAGCGTTCCTCCTCCTCTGTCCGAGGCTGGTGTGGGGTGAAAATCCTCCACCTCAGACGTTCAGAGATGTAACTATCTGCGATACTGTGGTCACTCTCCATGTAGCATCAATTATGCTAATGCTAGCTGTAATGTTCTCTCGTCCTGGCCACACCTCCGCTCTCCGACTTCTGAGTTCCGGTGCATTTGTGCGTACGGGGGTCATTATGTTATAGCTATGCGGTATCTAGTTTTTTTTATTAGGACCCCCGCACTCAAAGCGTAAGCGGGAGTCATATTGTTTTTGTACTGTTTATTTATTTATTTATTTATTTATTTTTGACCTGTTGAAATTCCATTAACATAAGCAAATACATTTGTAAAAATCTAATTCTAAGCAAACTGCCTTAATTTATACATTTAGTTCTTCCATTTATAATTAGCAGAATAAACTAAAATTCTAATTTTCTCTTTGTCTCTTGTTCCCTTTCCTGTAACTTCATCTTTTTTTTGACAATTTCCCTCTTTTCTCCCCTCTCACCTTTGTCTTTGTGTCTGATAAGACCCTGCAGGATGAGGATGAAGTGGAGGTTGTTCTCAGAGTCACTCAGGGTCAACATGGCAATACCTCCCATACCAGAATTGTCCTCATCGGACGTCAACACTGAACTGAATGTCTCTGCACAGAAAACACATGTACATCAGTACAAAGTGTCAACACTAACCAGGCTCCATTTTCTCAAATACGATATAGAAGTGGATTGTTGCAAGGCGTCACTAAAATCTGTTGAAGAAAATGAAAGTTTAAAATGGCAGGAGGATAGCTAAAGACTAAAAGTAGCACAACAATCGCTAAAAGATGAAAGTAGCAAAAAGCAGTCTAAAAGCTAAACTTATTAAAAGATATCTAAAAATCTAAAAGCTAAAAATAGCAGGAAGATAGCTACAAGTTGCAGAAGAATAGCTAAGATAAAAGTAGCAAAAGCTACCTGAAAGCTAAAATAAATAAAGGCTCACTAAAAATTAACCATATGAAAAGACTAGCTTAAATATAAATAGTTAGATAAAAGCTTAATGCAAAACACTAGTTAAAAGCTAAAAATAACAGGAAGATAGCTAAAAATTGCACAATAGCTGAACGATAAATTAATCAAATGGCTAGCTAAAAGTGAAAGTAGGATAATAAACAAAAACTAGAGTTTTTGAAAGCAAATTTCAAAGAAACAAAAAAACTGAAGGGATTCCAAGGTACTTTTGAAAAGAAAATATTTTTAAATGAAGTTAAATACTTAAAAAGTATTTAAAAAACAAATGCCATAGCACTCACCTCCTGAATTAATTTAACATTTTTTTAAATACATGAACAGTTAAAATAGCACAAACTACACAGAAGTAATTGGATTGCAAAACACAGTTGTGTGACTTTTACATGCAATGAACTATTCTAATCAATACAGCATAGATAAAAGAAAAAGATAAACACTTGAATGCATGTTTATGCCACATGCAGACCCACCAGCAAACAGAGCCCTGTGTTTGATGATCTTTCCCTGGATTTCTTCCCGTTTGCCTGTAGATGTTGTCATACTAATGTGCATTTGCTCAGACTGCAGCTGTCGTAGAAGAGGCTTCGGCACATTCTTCCACACTCCACAGATCTGCAGACCCACACAAACACAGGAAGGAACGGTGTCTTGTTGTGGCAGTTAGGATTACACATGAACAAAAAAATTAATAAAAATATGAGACACAGTTTTGATTTGTCTTCTCCTTAAGCATACATTTAGACTTTAAGTCAAAGACAAAAACAGACGACAGGTTCACATCTGCTAGATTCGTTAAATTCTTTGATTGTGCTTTAAAATCTTGGCTGCGACGCTTCAACATGAAACCACAACTTTTCCCTCAGAGCGGAGAGAAGAAATGTGGCAGTGTGCCGGCACCTCATAACTCAGAGTTCAAGAGTAATCTCTATTTCAATTAGCAATCCTCTCTGTCCCACTGCTACGCAGTGATGTAACGTGTGAAAAATGCCCTCTTCCTCCAAAGGTTCTGGTTCAACAAATTCCCTCCTCCTTCCTTTTCAGGGCTGAAGTGTTTTCTCTGAGGTCCTCTGGTGCTTGACACTGACATTTATCCAAAACTAATAAAAACAGGCCCATTTCTGGGACCTGTATTTAGGGGCTCCTGTCTCATTGAACACAGTCTTTAGGTCGGAAATGGAATGTGAGAATGTGAGTATTTTAGCAGGAAATTATATAAAGTTGTAAAGTCAGACTTTTGGGAGTACGTAGACAAGCAAGTAAGGTTACTACCCATCATCTAAGCTGTAGGTTACCTAATTTATGAAAATGAAACTGTCTTTTTATGCCTCTCCTTGGATTTCACCTCAAAGTTGAAATATTGCTGTTTTGTGTTATAATGGCTGCAATCAGACTGAGCTGAGAAAGTTTGGTCAAAAGCACTGAAGCAGAGAGGGAAAGTATCCCTGCGTGTGTATATGAGTGTGTTTTTGAGTGTATATTGTTTATTATTTTATAATGAGTTATGAGAAAACAAGGCAGACCCTGAACCTTCAGTTCTGTGGTGAGAACATTCGTCATATCAGCACCTAATTTCACTGCCTCCTTCAGGAAACACACCGACACACTATGAGAAACACAGCACAATGCAGATGGAGGCAAGATGAAATTACAATCTGTCCTCATGGAAGTAATGCCTTACCATGTCTGACTGTCCCTTGGGGACTTTAAATTCAAAAGCAGTGGTCCCATCTGAATCCAGGAAGACTAATTTACCGGGGCGGCCAAATCTGGAGAGTGGGGATGAGATTTCAGTGAGAACGATGGATAAAAATGCGTACAAAACAAAATTTATCATTTTTTTACAGTGCTGTGAAAAAAGGATTCCTTTGTTTTTGTTATTTTTTTCACTTGTGCATTTCAGATCATCAAACAAATGTTAATACTGTATTAGACAAAAAAAACCCTGAGTAAATATGAAATGCCATTTTTAAAAGATAATTTCTTTATTTACCTGAACAAAGCTGTTCAAACTAACCTAGCTGTATGTGAACATTTTATTATAGACTAAAGTTAATAACTAGCTGCGCCACCATGGGCAGGTCATGCATTTGCAATAACTGGCGATGAGTCTTTCACATGGCTGTGGAGGAATGTTGCTGCTGTGCGTCGGATCATTGACTTGCTGCAGAACCTTTGTGTTCTTGAGCTTAAGGTCAGAAACTGATGGCCTGACATTCTCCTTTGGGATGTTTTGGTAGAGAGCAGAAATCCTGTTGTCATGTATTCCAGCATGTTATCCCGATAACAAGCAGAAAAGCAGCCCCAGACCATCACACCTCCACCACTGTGCTTGTGTTGTGTTGTTTTTGTTTTAATACAGCATTAGTTTTATTCCAGATGTATTGGGATGAGCGTGTTCCAAAAAGTTCTTGTTATGTTTCGTCAGTCCACCGAATGTCTTCCCAGAAGTATTGGGGATCATTAAAATGTTTTTTGGCAAACATTAGACAGGCTTTTGTCTTCGTTTTGCTCAGAGGTGGTTTTGTCCTTGGAATTCTTTCTTATTGTTTAATCCGAATCTTTGACCTTAAATGAGGCAAGTGAGACTTGCAGAGATTTAAATGTTCTGGATTCTTCTACCTCCAGGATGATTTGTTGATGCACTCTTGGAGTAATTTTGGTCAACCAGTTTAATAGATTTCTTGATTCTACAGGTTTGGCAGTAAACAGGGTTGGATATTGTGGCGAAACTGAACTTAACTTTCCAAAGGATAGACTTAAAAACAGATGTGTTAGATTTATGTAAACTTGCTATAACAGTTTCCACTCAACTGATTTGAGTAAGTGCAAATCAACTTTCACATTTTCTTTAAAAACAAAAGTGAAAATTGCAATAAATGTACTCAACTCAGTTGATTGGAAATTGTTGACATTACTTGGTTGAGTAAATCCAACAATCTGTTTTTTAGTGTATTTTTATTCATTAACAAGTGAAATTCTTTTTTATAACTCCATTTTCTATTTTATCAGGTTATCATTGTCTGGTTTAACTTTTTTTCTGATCTCAATTATTTTTGTGACAAAATAGCAAAAACCTTTTGAAGCACTGCACATTCAAAAATATACTCTCAAAAACTAAATTTATGCAAACCCTGGAAAAAAAATCTGGAATCACCACATTGAGACAATGTGCTATTAAATATTTTATTTTGCATTTTAAAAATCAGACATACCACTAAACTATAACTTTTCAAAACTCCTGGCATAAGAAAAACAACAAAGGATGAAATATAATTCTTGTGTGTGCAACAGTTGTTTTTTCATATCAGGTAAAAAAATTGAATCATTCAGTTCTGAGAAAAAAAAAGAAATCACGAGAAACACCCTGCACCATTCGTACTGTGCGTACTGTGGTGAAAGCCTCTGGCTTTTAAAACATCTTGACTTCTCTGAGGACCTAACTAATGGCAAGCAGTATTTTTCATTAATCTGGCTCCACCTGTCTCTTACTGCTGATCAGCTTTGAAGTTTGGAGCCTCGTCATTGACTGTTTTCTTCAATTTCCAACTGGACTGAGGTCTTGACTATTTGCAGGCCATGCCACTGACAGTCATAACATTATATATTTGTCTTGAAGAAAAGTTTACACATTCTTTACCCTATGTCAAGATGCATAATCATCTTGAACAATGAAGTGAATATCAAACATTCTTCCCTTTCAGCTGATGGAATAAGATATGTGTTGAAAATTACAATGTAGACTTTGGTATTTATTGACAATATAATGACTGCTGTCTCCTTCGTACCTGACGTGACACGTTCATGCAGTCGCCAACCATCCATGATTGTTTTTCATTATCCAGCTGTCACCTTGTTCTTTTCTATTTGGATGTTAACGGTGGTTTTTGTTTGATTTTCCCGTATTTAGTTAATCCTATTTTTACAGTTTTTTACTGTTCAGTCACAGACTGTGACCACAGTTTCTGCTCATTCGTTTCTCATTTGTTTTGTTGTGCATTTTCTGTTTTCAGTGTATTTTAAGTTTTCTGTCTTGACACTTTGATGTCTTCTTTATTCTACCAGTATGCTTTCTTTTTACAACCTTCCCATTTTGTCTGTACTTGGTCCAGATTTTAGACACGGCTGACAACAACCAACATACTTCGCAACATTTCTTGATGACTTCACTTCTTGAAGACATTTTATAATCCCCTACTTTGTTTCAATTGACATCTCGTTGGAACCGTAATGCATGTCCTTCGCTTTGTACAATGGCTCACCAAGATATGGACACTTCTTTTTTAACTAGAAATCCTAATACCAAATGGCTGAAGTTGGTAAAATAATAGTTTTGTGGCATGTCTATGATTTATTTTTCTTATTGAACCATTGAATGAACATCAACCAAGATTGGCAATTCCACATTTTTTTGTAATGACATAATTCACACAATCAGCAAAAACACGAAAAGTATACAAAGAAACAAACTTTCTGTTGAAACATTTTACCTCAGGTATGTAATGGAGAAGGTGATGCTGGTTCTGGTCAGGGAAAGACGAGCTCTGGCGACTCCACTTGAGCTGGGCAGCCATGAGTCTGTCACTCCAGTCAGCAGAGCTACAAAGTCTGCAGAAGGCAAGAAAATACAGACCACATAGACATGCCATGAGTAAGAACGTTTCTTCTTCATGTTTATGATTAAACCTCTGTGGATGTTTTCCATTGTTCTATCTCTAGGTGCATATCCTGTGTGTCAGTGTGGACCACGGGTGTTCGGTACCTACCTGTGCGGCTCTCCCCAACACCGGTGTCCTCAGAACTCAGATAAGATCTGTCGTTGTAAGATTTGTGTAGGTCATCTTCTTTCCCTTTCTCAGTGAAATACTCAAAGCTTTCGAGCAAAGGGTCAGTCTGTTTTTTGTCATTAGTACCTGTAAAAGAAAATAGAAGGAAAAAGGATGGAAAGCACGGTTTTGCCAGTACATTTTCAAATGTTTTTTTTTTTACGTAGACCAGGGGTGCCCAAACATTTTCCCTGAGCGGGCCAAAATTTAAAAAAAAAATAAAAATAAAAAAACATTTTCCCTGAGCGGGCCAAAATTAAAATAAAAAATAAAAAAACATTTTCCCTGAGAGGGACAAAATTAAAATCAATCTGTGGGCCACGGGCCATATGCGGTAATATAATACATGAAGTCAGTGGTAGGCACCAGCCGGTGCAAATCCACTAATTGCAGACCTAAATATTTCGTTTGCGCTTTAGCGGTCTTACAAATTTTTATAATTCATAAGCGGATTTGCGCTTTCTAAAATTAAAATGCAGTACCGCCAACTAATTATCTACCAGTCATCATTATGTTGAACAGCGGAAGGTATGGCTGTCAGTAATTGTGTTTCCATCCAATTACATCCAATTTTAATTCAAATTTTGAGCTAATTTTAATAATTTTGCTAAAAGGAAAAAATTAAGAAATGCAGAGAAGTTATCAGGAGCGCGTTGCTACTATCAGGAAAGTTGTAATTATTCTGTTATCAACTAGTTTTGGCATGTTACTGCTGTCTGGAGACGTAGAGAAAGAAATGCAATTTTCTTCACTGTACGGGATTACTGAGAAGACGCCTACAGCGGGAGGAGGGTTTTGCTGCCAGTCGCGGCTGCAGCTGACCCGAAACTGGTACCGGTACCGGGGAACAGCTTATCAGCTACATGAGGTAAATGTTCGCTATGTCACAACTTATTTGGCAAAAGTGTTTCCATCTCTCCTTTTGCGCATTAAGTGTTTTTCGAAAAACCCAAAAACCACCTCAAGTGAGCGTAAAAACTTTTTAGCAAATTGAGGATTTTTTTTCGAATTTTGCTGTTTCATCCAACTTTTTTCTCATTTTTAATGCGACACTTCTAAATGCGCATCAAAAACACGATGGAAACACACTTAGTGAATCACAACACACGTGATCTGTCCAACAACACCCCTCCCAGATAAACACACTTATTGGGAAGGTATATACATCCTGCTGACTGTTGCTTTGGGTCACAGTTCTCATTTCCCACAATACTTTGTGTCTGCTTACGTAGCAGGAAGGCAATAGCAAAAACAGTTAACGTTTGTAGTCCATACTAAAATTTTGTATGTAATGATTTATTTTACTTTACAATCAGAGCTCCTTTTTCTAAAAAAAAATTAAGCTTAAACGCTGGAGATCAATACTTGACGTAACTGGTCGAAGCAATTGGCCAACGGGGTTAGAGACTCAGAAATGATTTTAAAGATGTTATGCTGATGAAGACTGACATCTAGTGGTCAACTGGAGCAACTGTGCTTTCGTTTCCCATCACAAATCAAACCCGTCATGCACCCAGAATGCTCGCTTCAGTTTTCCAATAAACTGTTTTAAAATTACTTTATTGATGCATCTTTAATGAGAAAAATACAACAAACTAAAGAAAAAGACAAAGAACTAGCAATCCTCAACAACTTTTTAATTTTTGCACCAGGAGCTAAAGGTCTGTTTCAGGAAATCACATCCCCGGCAATTGTCGGAGGTAGAATTAAGTTGTAAAAGAGTTCATACACCGCTAGTTGGCAGTGTTGTGCATATATTGTACATGAATTGTTGCCAGCTAGTAAGTGTGAAATTGAACTTGCACTTTAAAATTAGCTTCCGCTAGTTTTTCTATGGCATAAGCGCATTTGAAGTTGCGGACCTAAATATTTTCATAAGCACTTTAGAAACTATGGAGCTAATTTTGTGGTTAGCACTGCCCACCACTGCTGAAATGCAAATACTTCTTAAGTAAAGTTGTTTTATTTTTATAAATAAGCTAGCAGCCAGTGCAATTGCACACATTCTTTTTGTTTTCAGCCCATGGACATGGAGAAAATTCTACGTATGCTCAGGCAGCAAAGGTTCATGGGTCTTTTCAGAATTTATAATTTGAGTATATGTATGTGGTCTTCTAAGGTGTACTAATCTAGATGTGTGCTTAAATCTAATCTAAATCTCTCTTGTATTTTATGTTTAATCTTAACATAATTCAAAGATAAAGTGACTATCATTAGTATAAGACTTCAGCTCCTTCTACCTATGGTTGGACCAATGGTTGAAAAGTGGAAATATAGTGTTTCTACATTGGACAGGGGATTTGGCCCACAGGCCCTACTTTGGGCACCTCTGACTTAGACAGTATATTATGACTTTAAAGTAATGGTAAATGGACTGTACTTGTATAGGGCCTTTCTACCCAACCAGGATACTCAAAGCTCTTCACTCTACAAACTGTGTCCTCATTTACCCATTCACACAGCACTCTATCAGATTTTCTACAAAGCTAACATGTACAATCAACTATGGAGACTATCCATCCATCCATTTTCTGTACACGCTTCTTCCTTTTCAGGGTCGCGTGGGTCACTGGTGCCCATATCCAGCAGTCACAGTGTGAGGGGCGGGGTACACCCTGGACAGGTCGCAAGTCCAACTATGGAGACTAATCAGAGCCAATCACATTCATACACCGATACACATCAAAGGCATTAGGGTTAAGTATCTTGCCCAAGGACATGACAACTGAGACAGCTGGACGGGGGACCGAACCAGTGACATTCCGGTTCCAGGATCTTACACTAAAGGATGCTGATTGCATCAATTCGAAACTGCTCTGATTGGGATATTCCTGAAGTCTTCAACCGCCTAACTTATTTCTTCATCTATCTTTTCTTCTTTTTGGAAACAGATAGCTAACCAGCTGTGTCTTGTAGATGGAGCGTTTTAGGAGAATTGGGAGAAACACTGGTGTGTGATCTCTTGTAAAATAACCCTGCTGTTCCCCACACACTGCTGTATGTCCTGATGTAATGTGTGGACCTCAGTTTTCTACACACACACACACACACACACACACACACACACACACACACACACACACACACNCACACACACACACACACACACACACACACACACACACACTGACCCATACAGGGGTGCTAATTCAGCTAGTTTCAGCCAGTTCAACATGCTCGAGAACAAAAACTACACACGGCCTCTTAGTCACCCAATTGTTATTTCCCACTAGATTGTTTTCTGAGAAGCTAAGTCAGACCGTCTGCTTTCTTTGGGTCTGGTTTATACACTCCCACAACACTCACAAAAACATGCACCACTTGCAAAAATCAAATATCGGGATTACATGACGTGACGCTGATCATTGCAACACACAACAGCATTGCATGAGTTTGTGTGGTCAGCCTCTGTGAACTGTTTTTACAATTTTATAAATCCTTTATGACCCACTATTAAAGGTGACAAACTGATTACTTTTCTGTTGATGTTTTGCGTGAACATTTTTGTTTGTCAATACAGTTTCAGATATATTGATGAAACCCTGGATGGATTTTAATGAAACTCTTTGAAAGTACAATTGACAAACTTTTGAAGTCACCCAAATTCTAAATGGCCCTTACTGTCATGTTTTTAGAAAGATGTTTGACCCACATGCAGAACACTCTCAGGAGACAAGGAAAGTTCAAAAGGTTTATTTACAAATAAAAAGCAAATAAGTTGAGAATCTCCTTCTGGGGCTGGAGACCCGGGGAAAAGGAATCACTGAAGCCAGAGGAGAATCTGATGAGCAACACAAAAATACTGAGGAAATGATGAGGAACCAAAAAACTTCTCTTACTTGGGTTGTGAGGGAGCGTCCACCAGTAGGGGGTGGTTGAGTGAAAGACAAGTCAGTGCAGTGCAGCCAGATAGTTGGAGTGATGGAGTGCGGACAGATTACTGTGCGGACCGGGGACAAAGACCTTGAAGCTGTCAGTCTCAGAACTGCTCCAGGAGATCTTGGGTTCTAGAAGAGGCTCAGGGAAACTCTGGTAGATGAACCAGGAGGTGGTGGAGGAAACCATTGCAGGCAAACACTCAGGCACTGGAGAACTGACAGCCAACTCCTTTTATCCCCTGGATGATTGCAGGAGAGGATCTGCAGGTGTGAGTGATAATCAGTAGCTCCGCCCTCCAGTGACAGCAGCTCCAGACTTTCTGCACAAACAAACTGAACACAACAAAAACACAACCCAAAACCAGGCTTCTAACATCACCACCCCCCTCAATGACCGCCACCTGGTGGTCCAGAGGAACCGGATGGCTGAGAATACCGGTACTCAGAAATAAGTTCAGAATCCAAAATAAACGATCCTGAAACCCAAGACCGATCTTCTGGACCGTAGCCCTCCCAATCGACGAGGTACTGCCAGCCACGACCTCGCCGACGGGAGTCCACAATCTGGCGGACGTCAAAAGCCGGGTGTCCCTCAATGACCCGGGCGGGAGGAGGGGGCTCGGGAGGAGGGCAAAGAGCGCTGGTCTGGACGGGCTCAAACTGAGAGACGTGAAACGTGGGATGGAT